ATCTGTTAGTCTTTAAAGTGCCACCAGACTCCTCCTTGTTTTTGTGACTACAGACTACCACGGCTACCCCAATACTTGTCACCATTCAAGCTATCTCCTATATGACTTCAAAGCAAAAGAGCAAGGAGAATAAATAAAACAGTCCAGATAACAGCCATTTACCGTTCAGATTACAAGACTATTACCCATTTTCAGGTGTCCAGACACTAGCATGTGCTCTCCTCCCCATCTCCTTTCACAGTCCCGGTGGCAAGATTTGTATTTGCATCCCAACACATTTTGTTTATGCTTCTCTTTCAGTTGAATGTCTTGTCCATACAAGCAAGTGACAATTGTGACTCAGGTCCCATCAATGCCTTCCCACTTCCAATAAAGTACCACAACCCTGACCTAGAGGGATCACCTCCAGGGAGGGAGTAGGATAGTTGAGTCTTCATGGCCCAGATCATGATGTCACACATGTCACTGACTCTTGGTCACTGCCAAGCTGGGCCAAATGTGACCTGGTGATGTCACCGTGAAAGACTCCATAGCCATTGAACAGTCCCCTAACCGACCCAGTCCCCCAGGTGAGACATTTGTATGGAAAGGAGAAAAGAAAAAGGCCCCACTTCAGTCTTAAATTGTAGAGAGTATTTCTGCAGCTTTTATAGATTTCCCTCTCTAGACATTTTATGAAGCAAACTGGAATGGTCGGCTGAATTCGCATGGCCCCTGCCACACCCTCAACAGTCTCACTAATATTTGTTGGAGCTGGTGAACAGAGGAGCACATAGTTTATCAGTTATGAATGAAGATTAAATAGAGAAAAGAGATGTGTTCTGTTACCTGATGGGCATTCCTTGGATTGGCTCGTGTTCCAAGCCGGATGAGAGACCAGGCAGGTTATACTGGTCTCTCTAGGGCTGTATATACTGAGCACAGTCACTGTCCCATTTGTGTGATTTTCAAGCTCAGTCCTGGGATCTCCGTTTGGGTCCCAAGAGACCTGTGCAGCTGGTTTCCCTGCAGCTGCCTTGCACACAGCGGTCCCTTTACTGTCACAGGTCAAGGTCACCACAGGAGGGACTGCAGGACAGGAGAAAGAGTTGAAGTTAGTTTGCTGCACGTGGGATGGCAACTTTCCTCATTCCTATACAAGAAGAACATTGCAGAAAGGAGAATGGGAGTGAAGACAGTATTGCAATAAATAGCAAACACCTGCTACAGCAAAATAGATAACATGGAGTCCTTACAGCTCTTGAAATAGGGGTATCCCTTGGATGAGAGGGTGAGTGGAAACCTTAGGTGTACCATTTGGACTACCATAGATAATATCCCGAGACACGGCTTTGGGGAAATGAAGTACCCTCTCCTCACATGGCAATTTATCCGCGTTCAGTTTGAGACATATAAGCTCTCACACACCCTCCGCTGTCAAGTTGGAACAGAAACAAAAGAAAAGAACCTGAATTCACTTCAGAACTAGAGACTGTTGAGAGCTAAAGTGGGAACTAGGAAAAACAGCAGAGAGGAGGAAGGCTGGGAACCACAATAAGCAAAGGTTCATGCCTGTAATGTAAGGCCTTTCCTTCAACTGTTTTGACCAGGGCCAGCTCCAGCCACCAGCTTACCAAGCAGGTGCTTGGGGCGGCCACTCCGGAGAGGGGCGGCAGGTCCAGCTGTTCGGCGGCAATTCGGCGGACGGGCCCTCACTCCTGCTCGGAGCGAAGGACCTCCCGCCGAATTTCCGTTGCAGATCTTTTGTTTGTTTGTTTGTTTGGCTGCTTGGAGTGGCCAAAACCCTTGGTTTTGACTGACCAAGTTTCCCAGCTCCACGCCACAAAGTGAATGGCTGGGACCAGGAGCTCATCTATCACTCAGGTTCCACTGCATTGTCTCGTGTCATGACTCCTAACAATTCACCCACTCGTGTCAGTTTCTCAGGGGTGCTGTGTAGAAATGGGCCTGAATCCAAAGCCCCATATCCAAAAAGTTCAGCTCTGGATCCTGATCTACATTTTGTGTCATCTGCTGCTGATCCCCGGCAGTAGTTAACACAGGGGTGTGCGTATATTTCTTATCCTTGGTGTGTCTTTGTCTCTTTTTCCCTCTCTGTTTTAGTTAATTTTGCAGTAGTAAATTCTTATGGTTATATCATTTGATATAGTCTTTCCAAAATTACCTGGGCAACTTTCAGTATTCTGATCTAGTTACTGCCCTTGTGTCAGGTGGGTCACCACAGTCATCCTCCTTTGTTGTGAACAAGATAATGCACTAATAGGGTGACCAGACAGCAAATGTGAAAAATCAGGACAGGGGATGGGGGGTAATAGGTGCCTATATAAGAAAAAGCCCCCAAAATCAGGACTGTCCTTACAAAATCGGGACATCTGGTCACCCTAATGCACTAATGAAGTTCCTAGTAAATAGTCTCTTTATGCTTGAGGCAGAAATGTTACAGGGGTAGGATAGGAGGAACTGGATGTCCCAAAGGG